GGTAAAACTCCAATTTGAAAATTATGTTACTGCCACTAACCAATGTGACCACATTAAGTAGTGAAAATACAAAACAGAAAACTTGTCTTCTAAGTCTTACATGTGCATGGTGGTTGCGCACAGTACGGTAAATTCAGTGTTCAATACTGAACTTGATATTTTCTGTGTACATCCATTGATTTCTTCTTTGGGCATCAGTTTTTCTCTTGCACAAATTCTAGTTTGAAAGTGCTGTCGGCATGTTGTTCAGCACGAAAGTGGGAAAGGGACTTTTTGCTAATGCCATAGACTGCATAAGCAGTGAACAGTAACACTATCCCTTTAACAGTGATGCTTGGTTCTCTTTTAGCATGTGTATGCCTTACAGCAGCTTGAGAATCATCTCAAGGAAGGTGCCTGTGCTTTGGATGTTGGGTCTGGGAGTGGATATCTCACTGCTGCTATGGCTTACATGGTAACAAGTTATAATTCTTAAGTGCAGCCTTTTAATAAGACCTGGCACCCATTGGTGCTCTAGTGAGTGTTCTGTTGTGAAGTGTCATCTATACTGTTCTAGAGGGTTCAGAGCCACCATAAATTCTTTAAAATTTTTTGCAGCTCTGAACCCAACTCACAGAATATTTGTAAACTTTTTGAGAAGTTGCATTTGATCATGCTTATCATAATTTAGTTATAAAAAAATGGGGCTCACCAAGCTCGTTTTTGAGTTATAAGCTCTTAAAGCTAAAATTAAGAGTGCTTTGGGTGCTATGGTAACCTTTTGTGCCATAAAGATTACCATTATTGGTTCACTAATGGCTGGGTCCTTTGTTACAGGATGTTTTCTTAATGTGTAAGTATTAATACCTACCTGTGTTCTAAAACAGACAATTTCAAGGATAAAAGTTCAATCCTCCTTAGGCAAAAAGATGGCGACTGGTACATTTACCCATAGTTCTTAGCACATGAAAACCTTAACAACGTTCNTGTTTACCATTTACCCAAAAAAATCCGGAAATTTCGGATAGAATGTAAATGGAGAGATTAATTTTGTCTCCCCGAACGGAAATTTTCTCGGGAAAACGGGATTCCTTGAAAACAAGACAAAAATTCCCAAACGGAATTTCCGAATGGAAAATGTGCCTTACACTTGCTAGTTTTTACTAGTTCCAGGCCTTATGGCTTGGATCGCCTTTGATCCAGTCTTCCGGGAAAAAAAGTGAAAATGGAACGAGCTCATCCCCGTGGGAATTTCCATTCGGGATTTGACGCGTCCCATTTACTACAACTGTCGAACAACCGGTTTTTCCGAGTAAACGGTAAACAACCTTCAATTCACCCTCGTAAAAGCGCGCAACGTAACCCGTAGACGGAATGGGTAAATTTACACCTTTTTGTCAACCACCCTTGTTCCCAAGGTATCTCTTACCCCTGGGAACATACCCCTGGGAACCTATTCCTGGGAACTTATCCCAAGCACAATTTACAGTATCAGCTCACCTCGCAATCCGAAGGACAGAACCAGCACACTAGGTAACGACTGTATTTTGTGACGTCATTTAACGGAATGACCGCATCATACCCCATTGATCTGACCGCGACTTAATAAGGAGCCTAGGAACTAGGCCCTGAGGTCTCTTTTCTTTGTGTTCCATGTTTATTGTGCATAGCTGATACATTTTAACAATGTCTGAACCACAAGGAGAGGGACATATCATTAATTATAAAGAAAGTAATGTATGCTTCTGTCTTCGCGAAATTGAGAATGTCAGTAGTGATTTACCATTGAAATCACTATGTACAAGACTTGTTCTTTGCAGTAACCTCAACAAATCAACTACCCGCTCCCACCATTTTTATGCCGCGTTTACTTTGTGTACAACATACAGAAAGTGTTGAAAACCAGAGTGTACATCCAGTTCTCGCCAGGAAATTCGTATCTTGAAGCTCTTAGATGTGGTGAAGCCTGCTTGAGGTAATTCGCGTTGGACTTTTTCTAATGCATTTAAACGCAATTCGGGAGGTTCGTCTGAAAATTGAACTAGTTTTCCATGTGGCTTCAAGACGCGTAGGCATTCCCCCACGACTTCTAAAAAGGCACTTTCTCCATTGGGTCCCTTTAAAACTGCATCAGAAGTGCCCTTGTCGATAGCCAATGAAAACGTTCCTTCTCTAAACGGCAAATTCTTAGCGTCGGCCTTGTGACACGCCAATCCCGTCCAGTCAAGGTCAAGGTTAGTTTCCAGTCTCCCCTTCGCATCGAGTGTCTTTTTGGCAAGAAATCCTCGCTCACGAATTACTTTCCTCAGTGCTTTTATCGCTTCTGGCGAAAAGTCGATACACTCGATGCGGCATTTATGGTTTAAGTGTTCAAAGAGTTTTAAACTGAAATCAGAGGTACCACAACCAATTTCTAAGATCCTTGTAAAGTCCTTGTCACTAACAGGGGGTAGGTGAGGCTGGAGATGTCCACAAACGTCTTCAAATTGCACAAACCAATCGAAGACTTTATCACCTTGGCGGCACGCATAAAAGTTGTTCCAGAACGATTGATCAGACATGTCTCCAAATTGGCGCCTCAAAAAGAAACCTGCAAACAAATCAACAATGTTGCTTATCTTATCTGGTGATAACTCATAGATGGATCTTAAAACCTTGTGCTTCTCTATTTACTCTACAATGAAGTTTAATAACACCCACCCTTTCACAAAAGATTACCTCCATAAAGAACAAGACACAGATAGCCAACTTGGAAAGCATTGACTGGGTGCATAGCAACCGGCTGCTTAAAAAAAAGTCTTGTGGACTTTTCACTACCTCGTCTTTACAAATATACATTTACCTATTTCTTATATTTTAGTTTGTTTTTTTTTAATCTTTTTACAGTCGCTTTTCATCTTAGTTGAAAACTTAACATTTGAAATGTACACAGACAAGCTGATACATGATATTAACAAAAACTGATTAAGTTTGGGTCTATAAAAATCGGTTATTTTGGTACAAATAAAGTATGCTTCTCGTTGTTGCTTGAGTCAATGGACAAACACAGGACAGAGATATTATAGGACCATAATCTCACAGGGGCTCTTAGGGTAAACTTTTGACAGGGAGGTGCAAAGCACTGTTTGGGTTTGAAATTTGCAATCTGACAATGTTTTGGGTTACCAAATATTTTGTAATGACTTTTTTGGGATATAAGATTTTGAGAGGACTTTTGTTGAGGGTGGACAAAGCATAACTAAGGGTTCCAAGCTGTACGTCAAAAGTTTTTGGACTTCTTATGCAGGCCACCAAGACACAAGTTTTAGCATGCAGAATTTCTTACAGATTTGTATTGGTCAAATCTGTATGAAAGCTTGCACAATTAAGGATTTATGGTACAAGTGATAACTGAAATTCTCTCAAAATTGAACGAGCATTATAGGCGAGTGCAATTTGACAGAATTTTCAAATATCACATGTAGGGTAAATCCTTACATGTAATTGCTCAAGCCTTTATACGATTACTCATTTTTCACATGACTGAGAAATTTAGGGAAGCACGCATGGTAATTTGTACTGCAGTGCAATTAAAAATTAACAATAAATGGACCTGCTCTCAGCCAATCATGAAGAAGTAATTTTTTTTTTCAGTTATATAAAAATATAATATATATATAGTGACATACTTTGACTTCAAATGTTTGCTTGCTCATTTTGCATTATCGATTGTACTCAACACTTTCATGGACACTGGACAAGTACAAGAAGCATGTTCTGGATTCTGCCTCACTCATATGCCCTGCTTTCATGACAATATTCCTGAATTCTTACTCAACGATGCACGTATTCATTAGTAACAGATCTAGGGGATGTGCCTTGTGGCCTTCCTCCCCCTCCCCTAAAATTGGCAAAATTAGGGCCAGAAAAAACCTTATAAAAAGGTCTAAATCAGCCAATGTTTACTATTTCTTAACTATAAAGGTAACCAAAGAAAGGGAACTAGTCAAACTAAAATGCTCAAGCTGACAAAGATCACAAAATATAAAATAAGTGCAAGTGACAATGATTTTGGTGTTACCAGTCACGCCATCATGTCACGCCAGCTACAAGCAAGACCACCCAGTACGAATCTTACCTTTCTGTAAGGCCAGAGAATTGAAACTTGCCTTGACTGAAAGATGAAGGAACCTTCGTCCAATTGCAAACAGACTCATCATTCACATCTGAAAGTACCGCTCGGTCTTAGCTGTTTTAGGGATCTCTGCTTCAACGCAACGTAGACAGGTCAGGCTGAACGTCGTGGTGTGAAACACAGAGGAAACTTGCCATTAACCTCTTCACATGGAATGGCGTTTGCAAGGGCTCTTTCATAAGAAGATTTCGTTAATATGAAGCGAGTTGTTCGTGAATTCATTCATAATAAAGTCCACGTCGACGTCGGCCATTTTGAACTTTTCAAGAGGCATTGAGTATGCGATCGTTATCAGCAGTCAAAACTAATTTGTGTGTGCGCTGCGCATAGTAAACTATCATGGCGGATGGGCGCTACAACTAGCAGACTTGCTCTATTTGTCCGAAATATGGCGTGGAGATCACACGGAGATAGCAACACTGATCTTATAGACCAGCTTAAAAGTATGAAGTGTTGTGATTTGTTCTGCCAAGTGTTCTTTTTAACCTCGCATCTTGTCCTGTTTTTAGTTCATGAAGTCTTAAAGAGCAAGCGTGTGGAAGATGCTCTTCGACGTGTTGACAGAAAGCACTACTGCCGAACTCGCGCATTTGAAGATTCTCCGCAACCGATAGGTTCGTGTGATGCACATGACATTTGATAAATAAGCTAATGCTGTAAACAGTAGTATGTCCACGCGCAAATATCAGCTGACTACAAGGCCAGCCCACTGTCACCACTGCCAAAAAAAAATAATAATGATAATTAAAAAAAGAAAACAAAACATTTCCCTTTCCCCGGATAGGCTGGGAGATTTATTTTGGAGTGGCACTAAATTGATGAACCCAAACTTTTGAGGGTTGATAATTATTGCCGATGTTCTTACTTATATTATTTATGTTGCTACATAACATTTTAGAGAGGGTGGAGGTGGGTTACACATGATGTTTTTTTGTTTTGTTTTGTTTTGTTTTTGTGAGGCACTGTCTGTGATTTTAATTTGTAAGAAATAACAAATTTATTACACGGGTAAGCCAGTTCAGAGGGCAACAAAAATGAACCAAGCAGATTGCTGTATTGCTGGACCATTGTTTTCCAAGTATTGGAAAAAAAGGTGCCGCGAAATTTAGTGACCTTTATAAATCCTTTTATTTAAGTTTTCCGTCTGCTAGGAGTTTACATACGAGTAGGAGGGCTCAAATTTCAGTTCAATGCATGTCCTTATTCCTCATCATCTGACTGATCTTGCTGAATTAGTTCCTGTAACACTTCCTCAGTACAGTCTTCAAATTTGCCATCAGCATCTGGCTGCCTATAGTTCTCTGTGATCAGCTGCTTGAGCCTCTTCATGATGGCTTCATTCTTCATTTAAGAATAAAATGCAGAAATGGAAGTTTAAAAATGAACACCAGTGACTTGATTTGTGAAATTTAATTACCTTGAAAAATGGTGATTTGTCAAGTCCCGCGAAATAATTCCATTCCAAATTCGCAAAATTAAAGTCGTGCGAAAATAAGTGACAGTAAGGTACACTATCTCTTGTAGTGCTATGACTTATTTTTCTATAATAATTAACTTATATGGTACATATAAAAGGTTATTTTTCATTTCCGTCTTTTTCTTTCAAAATGTCACAATTTTGAGAAAGCGCTAAGTCACTTCTCGATCAGAATTGTGCCCTCTTAGTTAAGGGTGGCCTTTTTATGGGTCCATGGTAGAGAGATATTTTCTAAACATTTTCAGTTGTGTACATAATAAATCTCTTACTAACCAAGCCTGCTCAGGACCTTATTGAGAGAATATTTTTGTACAGACCTCATTGCTGTTGGTATGTACTGTCAAGAATTCACAATATGTGAGATAAATACTATGTTTTGCTTTTCTCTTCAAGGATTTCAAGCAACAATCAGTGCACCACATATGGTAGGGAGAAATAAAGAGTGTTCAAGTTGCACTGTGCAAGAATATACATGTATTCTTACTAAACATTTTAAGTAAAGTTATTTGTGAGGAAAAAATTTTAACAAGAAATTTTTAGTAGTTAAGTCTTCCTATTGCATTATTTTGTTAATATTTACTGATCTTAAATTGGGTAAAACTCCAATTTGAAAATTATGTTACTGCCACTAACCAATGTGACCACATTAAGTAGTGAAAATACAAAACAGAAAACTTGTCTTCTAAGTCTTACATGTGCATGGTGGTTGCGCACAGTACGGTAAATTCAGTGTTCAATACTGAACTTGATATTTTCTGTGTACATCCATTGATTTCTTCTTTGGGCATCAGTTTTTCTCTTGCACAAATTCTAGTTTGAAAGTGCTGTCGGCATGTTGTTCAGCACGAAAGTGGGAAAGGGACTTTTTGCTAATGCCATAGACTGCATAAGCAGTGAACAGTAACACTATCCCTTTAACAGTGATGCTTGGTTCTCTTTTAGCATGTGTATGCCTTACAGCAGCTTGAGAATCATCTCAAGGAAGGTGCCTGTGCTTTGGATGTTGGGTCTGGGAGTGGATATCTCACTGCTGCTATGGCTTACATGGTAACAAGTTATAATTCTTAAGTGCAGCCTTTTAATAAGACCTGGCACCCATTGGTGCTCTAGTGAGTGTTCTGTTGTGAAGTGTCATCTATACTGTTCTAGAGGGTTCAGAGCCACCATAAATTCTTTAAAATTTTTTGCAGCTCTGAACCCAACTCACAGAATATTTGTAAACTTTTTGAGAAGTTGCATTTGATCATGCTTATCATAATTTAGTTATAAAAAAATGGGGCTCACCAAGCTCGTTTTTGAGTTATAAGCTCTTAAAGCTAAAATTAAGAGTGCTTTGGGTGCTATGGTAACCTTTTGTGCCATAAAGATTACCATTATTGGTTCACTAATGGCTGGGTCCTTTGTTACAGGATGTTTTCTTAATGTGTAAGTATTAATACCTACCTGTGTTCTAAAACAGACAATTTCAAGGATAAAAGTTCAATCCTCCTTAGGCAAAAAGATGGCGACTGGTACATTTACCCATAGTTCTTAGCACATGAAAACCTTAACAACGTTCGTAAAAAGGCACAGAAACGTTATACAATCTTCAAACCTAAGCTACTTAATATCCTTAGCACAGGGACATATATTGTAAAAAGTTGGTTTTCTTTGTGCCTTTTAGGCTGTGTTAGGTTCGCAAGGCCTTGTGGTAAAATGTACATCTACCATCTTTTTTCCTATGGTGGATTGCTTTTTGCTCCACAAACCATAGTCACTGAATGAACACTGAACATTTTCTTCTCACTGCAGGTCGGTGAAACTGGAAAGGTTTATGGCATTGATCATATTGATCAGCTTGTCAAAGACTCTTTGGCTAACATCAAAAGAGGAAATCCTGAACTCCTTGAAAAAGACAGAGTAAAAATTGTCAGTAAGTACGATGTACAATAAAAAACTTAGTTCATTTACAGAACCATGAGTATATTACTCAAAATAAGATACATTGCATTTATGAGAATGGTGGTACTTTTTTGTTGTTGTTTTTGGTTTCGTTTTGTTTGGTTTGTTTTCTTTCAGAGCTTGATTTTATGACTCCTAAAGGCCTGAAAATCTTTCTAAATGATGGGGAAAAGAGTGGAAGATATGACAGATGTTCCTTTTAATTTTTTTCATTGCCTACTAAATGCTTGGACTGAATTGCGGCAAAAAGGGTGAAATTTTCATTAACACCAGTTTCATAAAACCAGACATACATGCCGTACATGCACTCCTGTCCTCTAAATCTTATAAACCAAGCACAAGGGCTACACAGGGAGACTATCAGCCTTAGGTACAGACTGAGTGCAACAAGGTCTGCATGGAAGAGACCAAGTGCCAATATTATCCAAGTATGATCTTTAGCAAGCTTGGTTGATAAGAGAGTTATATACAATGATAATACTATTATACTTTTATCAAATCAAGTGTGGTTTAGCGTGGTCTGTACTCTTATCGACAACGATATGCGTCATCACAGTGGTCAAAATGTTGTGGACTCCCAAGGCACAGCCAAGTGAGCCCACAACAAATTTTGATCACTGTGATGATGCGTATCGTTGTTGATAAGAGTGCGGAGCACACAAAACCACAATTCGATTTGTTTTTTACCACAATATCACCGTCAAAGAAAATGTTTTTTCAGAGCGCGAGCTGAAAAAGGCATTGTGTGAAACATTGATGCAAGCAGCGTTGTCTGAACTCTTATCAACAATGGCAAATTAGCCAATCAGATTGCGAGATTAGTAGCAATTGTGGTAAAAAGAATGTTTTCCAAGTCCAACACTGATACATACAGTGTGTTGAATGTTACATGTACTAGAGGTCAATGTGCTTAGCTATACTGAGCTGGTTCACAGGCATGTCACTCAACCTGAAAGAAACAAATATTTCAAATAAACATTAGGCGTAAAAAGTGAAACTGGTGGGAGCCAGACCAGTTGGCTATTTACATGCATGACTAAGGAGCTGAACTATTGTCGGTTCTACCAAGAAACAACTCCAGCAGGACTTGAACCTACGACCTTCTAATAGCTAATAAACAGCATTGCTGTCCATGATTCCTAGCTGGTGATGGCCGGAAAGGATATGAACCTGGACAACCATATGACGCCATCCATGTAGGAGCAGCTGCTGCAGAATTACCATCAGCAGTGAGTACACTTAACAGTACTTTGTCATCACACCTAGCCATCCATTCAGAAGTGTGATTCATAAATAATCTCATACACCTTATACATGTATTTACCCCGTTAAATTCATGGTGAAGGCCTCAGGTGGCTAGGCATATCTGGGTAAATTGCCCATTAAATTCCCTTTGTCCCTTGGCTGTGATCACTACCTGGGTTTGTTTAAGAGCCACTATCACGAGCCTAACTTTGAAAAGTCCAAATCAAACAACAGAGATGATATCTACACGTATGGACAACCAAGCGATCTTTTCAACAGTATTTGCCAATATATTCTTCAATCTTGTCATTTTTGCATTCCACATGTACATGTAGGCACATTTTGTGTTCTTGCGACAGTACTCTTGAGCAAAAATTCAGCAAAACCCCCATGATAATGTAGCATTAAAATCCTCTCACAAATGATGTTTTCTTCTCCTAGGACATCTCAGTAAATATTATGGAGCAATAACAATCCTTTATTGATTTGTTTTCTTTTCCTATTTTAGCTTCTAGAGCAGCTGAAACCGGGTGGCCGTCTCATTTGTCCTGTTGGTGCGGAGGGCAGGAACCAGGTCCTTGAACAACATGATAAGCTAGAGGATGGCCAGATTGTGAAGAAGAACCTGATGGGAGTCATCTACGTACCACTTTGTGATAAAAAACATCAGTGGCCAGGTTGTAAGTTGTCCTGACTTCAGTGCACAGCCATTATGGGTAGTGTTTGTTAATTCTGCTGCTTGATCAAAGTTCTCGATAGTGTTTCAGTGTGAAGGAAAAAGACTCTTTCTTCCATGGTGTTGAAACAATGTAAACATAGATTAACCAGTGGTAAACTAACACTACGTGTACATTACCCATAATGCATTTAGCTGTTTGTGAATACATGGTAAAGGTAAAGGTTAAGTCTGCATACGAGCCAAGTGGCCCACCAGGCTGGAGCTTATCCCGGTTTCCTTAGCATGAAGTGACTAGGAGTATTTCTACTCCCCCCTGGGTGGGATGCTAGTCCATCGCAGGGTTACCCCCAGCATTAAATTCGCCGGTACCCATTTATACACCTGGGTGGAGAGAGGCACTGTGAGAGTAAAGTGTCTTGCCCAAGAACACAACACAATGTCCCCGGCCAGGGCTCAAACCCAGACCGCTCTATCCGGAGACGAGCGCACTAACCATGAGGCCACTTCCCCTCCACATGTGAATACATGAAAGATCATATATTTGAACTGCAAAAAAAAATATGAAGACACGATTGATCATCGCAGTTTTACACACAACTTTTAAAAGCAGTTGTGAAATTAATGCCTGAAAAAAATTCAGGCTTGAACCAGTATCGCAGAGGTCATGGGTTTGAATCCCGTTCAAGTCTGAATTTTTTTTTCAGGCTTTAATTTCACAACTTTTCGGTATTGTCACGAATGATTAGCTGAGCTTAAATTTTTCGCATCTTTCTTCTCTATACAGAATGCCATCCTCATAGCTGATCTTAGTAGTATGCAGGATTGGTGTTGCCTACACAGTGTAAACTTTCTTGTAGTAAATACAACACGAGTCTCTCCGTACAGTACAACCCAAAAATAGTGCACGCACAAGAAGTGGCGCAAGAAGTTCTTGCGCCACAAGAACACGCAA